CGTTTTACCTCAAGTCATGATTTTAATATCAAATCTCAACACAAAAATTCTATTATAAATTAAACTGAACACTGTTCAATTCGTAAATTTTCAAAAAATAAATACTCATGCAGAAACACTTGATAAAATTTTCGTAAGTGTTTGAGCTATACAACTATTTTTTTTTTATTTAAATTTTACAAAAGTAAGTCTTCAACTCGAGAGATAGAAATTTCACCTTGAACTTGTGTAACAAATAAAGAACTGTTTTTCAATTATCATAAACCCATTTACAAATGATATTTTAATATAAAACAAATATCACTAATCACGTGGTGCAACAACCATTCAATTAAATTATGTAATGATTTTTTTAAAAAAAATCTGAGTCATTACATTAAGAAATTAGTTAAGTCCTTCAACATGCAGTTTGACACAACCTTGAACACAATGGTACGATTACCATACTTGCATAACAGCATATTCAAATCTGCAATGAATTGACAGTAAAATTTTACTATCAATCAAAGTAAAATTTACTGTCACTAGGGGTCCAAAAACAAATAACATAAGTACACAATAACAGAGTAAAATTTTACTGTCATTGTATAAAAAAAAACAATAAAAAACATAACAGATAACACCAAAGTAAAAGTTTACTCTCACTTTATCAAACAAAAACAGAGCGCATACCAGAGTAAAATTTTGCTCTCATTTTATCAAACAAAAACAAAGCACAAATCAGAGTAAAATTTTATTCTCATTCTGTCAAGAAAAAACATAGCACAAATCAAAGTAAAATTTTCCTCTCATTCTGTCAAACAAAAATAGAGCACAAACCAGAGTAAAATTTTACTCTCATTCTGTCAAACAAAAATAGAGCACAAACTAGAGTAAAATCTTACTCTCATTCTGACAAACAAAAGCTAGAGCACACACCTGATTAGACTCAACAAATCAACAAAAATAAATCAAAAACAAAAACCAAAAAACTAATCAACATACGTGATTGAACTTGAACAATAATCAAACACGTGATTGAAGCAAAACCTCTAAAACTCCATCAACACTCACAAATCTTGATTATGTATTGTTGACCAATGGCGAGATCGTCAGCGGTGAGATCTTAATAATTTGAGATCGTCATCATCTTCACTAATTTCGCAGATCGCCTTGAGCTGAGATTGTTCAAATATATGAGATATATATATATAGGAGGGCAATATGGTCAAAAGAATATAGAATGTTCTTATTGAGCTGGGCTTCTCCTACTCAGGGGCTTTTTGAAGGAGAATTAATTGAGTTGTCCTTTATCTTAAAAAAAGGCTCAAAAATGGAGGTTTCACCAAAAATCCCTATTAAAATTGGCTTGAAAACTACTAAATACGTTAAAATATTTTACTAGAAACTTTTTTAATGAACTTAGGGTTTGTTTGGGATGTAGATTGGCTTTTTGACTATTTTAAGCCTCATTTGGGATAGGTTTTTTGGTTTTTTTAACTTTTGTGAGAGAAAAAATGAAATGATTATGGTTTGGATTTGATATTTTGTCTTATTGGACTAAAAAGCTTATTTTGTCTTTTTATGGTTATTTTAGCCAAAAAACCCCCGTTTAGCTTATGCCAAACGAGGACTTATATATGATATCCTAATTTGATCACCATCGCACTTACTAATCAACTTAACTTATTCATGTATACCCAGGCAAAAAAAAAAAAAAAACAACAACAACAACTTAGCCATTGTTTGGCATAAGCTAAATGGGGGCGTTTTGGCTAAAATAGCCACAAAAGACAAAATGAGTTTTTTAGCCTAATAAGACAAAATGTTACATCTAAACCATAATCACTTCATTTTTTCTCTCACAAAAATCAAAAAAATCAAAAAGCCTATCCCAAACGAGGCTTTTTAGCCCTAGGCTAAAAAAACCAAAAAGCCAAAAAGTCACTCACATCCCAAACGAACCCTCATTCATGTGTACAAAAGTGATGCAGATAAAGAAGAAGATGCAGATGATGATGTAACGCCCTCAAAATAATAACATTAAACCCATCAAATAAGACATTCATTAACATATGAAATAACCACGTTCTTCTATTCATCAGAGTTTGATTACAAAAGTATTACATGTTAACAACAAAAGCAAAATGCCCTACGGGCTTACAGCTTTCCAAGTTAACACTTGGTTACAACAAAAGAGTATTAACTCATTTACACCTTAAGCCCTTGGCTTGAATTTACATGTAGTACATCAAAAGTAAAGCGACAAAAGTATGTCCGCCTCTAGCCTCCCAAGCTATGTCCTTGGAGGTGGCATGCTACCTGCACCTGAAAATGATGTTCGCTACGTCCTTGGGGGTGGCATGCTACCTATACCTGAAAATGATATTCCCATATAAGGTGAGCCACAGCCCAGCAGAAATACACTAAACCAACCATGAACAATGACTAAAAGATTAGCAACTGATAGACGGTCAACACTGACACTACCATTTACATCTCCCTACGTTTCCATGACAGCCAAGTCTATGTTACAATTCACTTTTCGTTTTTGTTCAACTTTGGTTTAGTGTATTTCTACTGGGCTGTGGCTCACCCTATATGGGAATATCATTTTCACCATGGCTCAGAACCTGGCCAAACAACTCATATGCGACAGTAACTCATATCAAACACTTCCCATTTCATAATAGATAAGCATACTAGCTATATCACACAACAACAGATAAGCATACAAGCTATATCATCACTTCCACAGATATGCATATGAGCACTACCACACTTCCAATGACAAGCATATGAGCTCTGTCAACACATTATTTGATAAGCATATGAGCTCTATCTACGGAGTCCATCCCCTATCTCCTCCAACACAACACAATGCATATAAACAATAATTATACACATCATCAACTAATACATAACATTTAATGTATTCATTCAACCGTCATACTCAATGACGCATTCCGGTGATTAGTTTTAGTTTGCCTAATCATCATGCATTGTCTACAACAACCAAGACTATCCTCCACCGATAGCCCAAAGCAGTTATTTCTATACAAAAAATAAATGCAACAAATGGATATAAAATCGACATTTCCAACTAGGTGAGTGACATAAAATCTAATTACACCCTTTAATCCCATGTATTCCAAATCTCAACATTTCCAATTCAATTCCTCGTTTCTCACAATTAATTTTACAAATTAATTAACCAATGTAATTAGGGCATTTTCCATAATTAACATTACAACCCTTAGGTTCCATTTTCATTAATGTTTTAACATTAATTCCACTTTTCCATGCCAAACATGCATCTAGGCTTTTATATATTTAAAACCCCAACTTTGTAAATTTGCACAAAAGTCCCAAACTTTCACAAAATTACCAAACTAACTCCAACATCTCAAACTACTAAAATTTAAAGACAAAACCCATAGTAAGGAGTTGGTTATCCCTACCTCCAAAGATAACTCCCAACCGAGAAGACGAAGAAAACGGAAGTGCTCCAAACCACAAACTTTTCGGATCAAAAGGTAGCCCTCGACGATCAAAGAGAGAGAGAGAGAGAGAGAGAGAGAGAGAGAGAAGGAAAGCATTGTAATGTGTTGTCATCAAGATAGACATGATGTAAAAGGTACAAAAAAATAAAAAATAAAAAATAAAAAATAAATAAAAAAGCACCAGAAGACTACTTAAGCTGCAGCACTGGTTGAATGAAAATTAATTGAAGGTGAGATGCTCTTCCATGTCCCAATACCTATATAGTAGCTTTGTGAAATTAAATTCAATAATCAAGCCTCCAAGTTTTGCAATCAGAATCAACAATAGTAACCCACCAGCCACTTCGCTATACTTTAAATCAATTTTTCTTAGAAAAAGGTAGATGCAATGTTGATTACAAATTCACAACTGCAATGAAATGCAAAATTTTGTTTGACTTAAAAACTTCCAACCTTTGAGAAATGATTGTCACTAGCAGAGGTTCTAATGGGCTTGTTCAGAAACAAATGAACCAGCTTCAAATGATGAAAAACAGAGAACCAACTTCAAAAAACAGAGAACCAGCTTTAAATGAACCCACTGCAATCCCCACCGTTTCATCAACCCTAGACCACATCTTCCACACATTCAGATACAAATACACTATCAACATACAGTATAAAAAATAAAAAATAAAAATTCCAACTCTGATTTACAAAACCCAAATACAATATCAACATTCCCACCCAAAACCCTCATTCCAAATGAAACACTATATTTATATAATTCCAGTAATAATAATCATAATCATATACAAATATATCTTATGAATGACATACGAAAGGAGCATAAAAAAAAGAAAGAGAACAGAACTCACCAAAAGTTTCAAGATTCAACAGAGATGAAGACTTGAGTGAGCAACAATGGGGATTTTGGAGCTGCAAATAGAATTAGGGAAAATGAATCAAGAACAGAGGCAAAATAGAATTGGAAAAGGAAGAGTCTGGTATATGTTTGGAACTTCTAGATCTTTTTTGGAAGAAGGCGTGTCTGCTGGAGTAGTGGAAGAGGAAAAGGCAACAATTTTGGGATATATTTTTGAATAAAAAAATATATTAAAATATATATATATATATATAATCACATTTATATATTTTTTTTATATATAATCACACTTAATTAGAAAGTGTGATTAAAAAAATATATATAATGACACTTAATTAAAAAGTGACATAAAAAATAAATATATCACATGTTAATTTAAAAGTGTGGTTAAAAATGTATATATATAATCACATTTAATTGAAAAGTGTGATAAAAAATATATATATATAATCACACTTAATGGAAAAGTGATATAAAAAATAAATATATCACGTGTAAAGTGTGATTAAAAAATGTATATCTATAATCACACTTAACTGAAAAGTGTGATAAAAACTAAATATTATCACACTCAATCAAATCAATTGTGATTAACATATCAATCTAATTTTTTTAATCACACTTCTAATAAAAGTGAGATATTTTCATGTATCAAAGTGTGATCTTTATCTATTTTTGTAATAGTGTGAGTCAAAAGTTCCGGACAAGTTTAACTTTGCAATCATCCAATAAACATGTTTGCTGGTGGCCCAACATAATCGACTTGTGTTCAGCTTCAGATTTAAGATTATGTATCATCAAGCTTCGGGAAATTATACATCAAACACCAGAGACACTTTAAAGAACCATCCTGCTACCTCCCTCCCTCTATAATCCTATAAATAAAAAATAAGTAGAAAAGAAAAGCACACTTATCTTTTTCTTTTCTTTTTTTCCCTTGAAATGAGTAGCAAAGTTTACAAGGGCAGTAGGAAGGGAAAAATTACTCAGCTTCTGTAAGAACATTTACCAGCTCTCCCAGCTACTCCCTGCAGTAAAATCAATTGTTCCTCCTCATCAGAAAAAAAAAAAAGACAAACTAGATAGGAGTGTTGTGAGTTGCAAAATACCAGACAAATTTAATCACAACATTGTCAAAATAGCCAACATAAGAAAATCACCAGCTTATTGGGGGTGAGAATTTTGAATGCGGAAAGTTTTGGAGAATAAGGCGTAAGAAATTTGCATGATAATTATATCCAATAAATAACAGTAGATTACTCAATAGATTAATAAATATGAAATTCTTTCTCTTCATGGACATTGATGAGTTTTAAATCCTTCTCCACTTGGATATTTACAAATAATACGAGATACTGCACCCAGTCTACTGGGTGAGACCACTAGCTCAATTCTAATTCAACTAGGACTCCAACCATCACAAGTCCAGTTAGGCTAAAACACATGTACTAAGAAAAGAGAAAACAACGATGATTATCATTTTCTTTTAATTTCTTTTTCGTGGAACTTTCCAAGAAAGGAACAGTGAAGACATTTGACAAAACATCATTAAGACAGTCCTAACATATTCAATATATTTGCTAATGGATTGGAAATCATGAATTCAACTATTTAATGGTATGTTTTTCATTTTTTCAGTTTAATGTTATTGGTTTATAATTTGAAGAAGTACGTATTTTCACACATAATAGTTCTTAGAACCTTAGAAATATTGAAAAGTTCTGAAAGCCTTTTAATAGTGCTCTTAAAGTCGGGTCTAATACATGCAATATAATGCTATTGAACTCCTAGGATTGATAAGAGCACTCTTAACTTGTCCAATTTTAAATTAGGATCCATACTGTCCCAATTTTAGTTAAAATCATGGCGACGTTAAATTTTTAATAGCAACAATTATAATGATAAGTACATAAACAAGTAAGAATGAAAGTACAATGCAGGCATGAATTGTGATATGAAACACACCAAATCAACTAATATCAATTATTTGGAATACAAAAATTATATCAATCATCATTCAGACCAAAACGAAGGCAAATGATTGATTATGAAAAAACTAAGAAAAAGAAAAAGATATGGTACTAATTGTGATACTGATCCAACTAAGTGAGAGCACTTTTCTTTTCACTTTCTTTTTGTAGAAACTTTACTTACCTTTGACCTTGTTTGAGTTCTCAATTACAACTTGAGGGATGTGTGATTTTTTCCAGTAATCCCCGCCTTGTTCTTCTCAATCTAACTTCATAATCAATTTCTTACAGCTATCAAAAAGTCTAAACATTTGAAGGTTGGTTAGATGTTTGATACCGGAGGGGACCTCCTCTACCAATTCACTATTTGTGATAACTAGAGTTTGAAGGTGGGGCATTGCTCCCTCCTCCACTCTCACCATCTCAAAATTATCTATTAATTTACATGTTTTTTGGGCACATGTATATTATCAAACATTTTTTTTTTGTTTTTAGTTTTGATTTTGTAGTTTCATAATTACATTTAATATTTGAGAACTTAAATATGTTAATAAAATGTGTTAAAATTTACAATCTACCAACCTGAACTGCCAAAATACTTGAACCAACCTGTGGATTTTGAGGTTTTGTGGGTTGGCAATGGGTTAATAATTTGACAATTGGTTGAGATTTATTCTCTCAAACTGCCCTATAACAAGAAGACACGTAATTTTTTTTTTTTTAGGACAGAAGACAAGTAATTACTTTGTGTAAAATATAAAAAATAAAAGTTGGAGAAACTAATTATATGATCCAATAGGCTTGAAAAGACAAATCACATATAATAGACCAGACTAATAGGCAGATTTCTGCCTAAGTGGGTTGGGGGTTGGGTGGGGTGGGGTGGGCCATCAAATGATGGTGTACACTCATCAAATTTGTGGCCAAGGAGATCTAAGTGACAATGATGCCTACCTTTCCCACCTGGGAATCACATGGGCCTGCATTTTATCTACACCCTCTCCAAATACAGGTTATTGTGGTTCTCTTCTCTCCACTTTCAATCTTCAAAATTATCACTTGAAAATGACAATTTAACCCTAACCCAGAAAACAACACCAATATATTTCAAACCTGTAGCAAGACAGCTATAGTGCTGCAAGAATTATATAACAAGAACCCTGTCCTGTAGTAATTTTCTGGATCTTCTCTTTTCTATCGGCAACCAAAAAAAAAAGAAAGAAAAAGAAAATTTCTGAAGCCCATTCAGGTGATAGTCAACAAACATGGAAATAAAAATTAGAATTAAGTTAAATAAACAAATTAATGCTAACAGCAAGCACCCAATTGAGCATACCATAATAAGAGTAAAACTTGATCTTTTAAGTTTAAATAGTTGATGGTATATCACACAGAAAAGACACTAACATCTATGAAATGAAACCCAATCCACTGAAATTTAGCAAAGAAATACATATTTGAGGAAAATTAATCAATACAGAACATGCCCAATTTCAGAAAGAAACCAATAATAAGAAAAGAATCCAAACTGATAGGTTGATTAACAAGAAACCCAAGAAAGAAAGAAATTAATCATAGAATAGAAAATTACACATGAAGGTTTTGAGATTAGAATGGACCTCGAGAAGGAAAGTACTGAGACATCGGAGAGTACATTCTCTTAGGGCTTGGTCTTGAAGTTCGATGATGACTTGAGGAATTGCCATAGCTCTCTTCGACATCCAGCGCACTTTGTGCTTCTTTCGTCCACTTTTTTGAACTTTAGCAATTGAAAAATCTATGATAATCAAAGAACACGTCACGGTAATGAATCAATAAGAATTGAGAGAGAGAGAGAGAGAGAGAGAGAGATCTTGGAGTTGTAAAGGAGGTGGAGAGTTCGTTCCTCCCATGGCTCGTCTTGAAGGCCGTCGTAAATGTCGTCGTCATCTGAAACAAATTGAGACGAAGAGAGAAAGAGAGAGAGAGAAAGAGAGAGAGAGAGACGTAAGAAGAGATTAGGGATTTTGAGATTGGGGATTTTGGTTCAAGAGATTGGGGATTTTGGGTTTGGGTTTGGGTTTGGGGTGGGGGGAAACCCGAGCTGGAATGGAAAAGAGAGGGGGGGAGTGAGATTAGGGATTTTTGAGATTGGGGATTTTGGATTTGGGTTGGGGAGAACCCGAGCGGGAATGGAAAAGGAAGGGGGGAGAATGGAAATTTTTTTTATTTATTTTTTTTTTCATTACAAATGAATATTTAAATAATAAAACGACACTTTTTTTTTTTTGCAACGGAGAATGTCATTGCTATAAAAAAATTATTTTAATAAGTTAATGAATTTTTGTTTTTGTTTTTTCATTTAGTAAGGTTGAAAATTTATTTGTTTCATATTTATTTTAATGAATACAAAATTATTATTATTTTTTTATTTCGTAGAAGTAGGGATAATATTTTCCATTAAAATAAAGTTAATTTTTTGTGGCCAATGAAAAATATTTTTTTACAACCCATTTTTTTTTTGTTAAGTGATGGTGAAAGAGATAAGTGGTGAAGTTGTGGTAGTGGTAGAGGAGATAGAATAGTGGTGGTAGAGAGTGAGCAAGGTGAACACAATGGGGGAGAGAGACAAATAGACAGACAGACACATAGAGAGAAAGAGAGAGAGAGAGAAAGAGCAAGAGACAGACACAGAGAGAGAAAGAGGTAGAGAAGAGTGATAAGTGAGAGAGAGACAAAGAGAGAAAGAGATATAGAGAGAGAGAGAGGGAGACAGAGAGAGAAAGAGATAGAGAGAGACATATAGAAAAATAGAGAGAAACAAGATATGAGCGAGAGATAGACAGAGAGAGAGAGAAATAGAGCGAAAAGAGATGATCGAGAGAAAGACATAGAAAAAGAGAGACGAAGAGAGAAGAAAGATGGGCGAAAGAGACAGAGAGAGGGAGAAATAGAGAGAAGATAAATGAGCGAGAGAGAAGAGAGATAGAGAGATGAGAGAGATATGAGAGAGAAAGAGAGAAAAAGAAAGAGACAGAGACAAAGACTGACAGACAGAGAAGAGTGATAAGTGAGAGAGAGAAGAGAGGTAATATTTTGTGGTAAAGGAGAGGAAGCGGCAGTAGTGGTGAAGGTGGTGGATAAGAGACGATGGTGGTGGTGGTGATGGCGAAGGAGATTAGTGGTGAAGTTGTGGTAGTGGTAGAATAGATGGAGTGGCGGTGGTGAAAGACAGGTAATGGTAGTAGTAGTAGTGGCAATAGTTGTGACTCGAGAAAACAATCTTATAACCATCGCTCTTATTTTGCACTGAAGTTCCTCTATCTCTCTCACATTAAGCCATGGTGAATGCAAAATTATTATCCAAGAGACATTTTGTGGCAAAGCTACTATTCTTTTCACAATAAACCCTCTCCACAAAAAAAAAATAATAATAATAATAATAATAATAATATAATAATAATAATAATTAAACAAGGAAACAAAAATACAAGAAATCTAGGCTATTATTTGTGACAAAATTGGTGACGAAATTTTTTTTGTCTTAAAATTTACCCAAGATGACAAAATATTGATTTGTCGTTTGTTTTAATTTTCTCAAACGTATAGGAGACGAAAAGAATTTCTCTTGCAAAATTCAGGTGCCAATTTTTCATTTTGCATTGGCTCGAATTATTTAGCTCCATTGGAGATGAACATTTTTGTCACAAAATATATATTATTTTTGGACGAACGTAATTTGGTCACCAAATAAATTCCACAACCTATTAACAATGTCGTTGCATATTTCCATTTATTAGGCGACAAATATATTTTGTCTGGGAAATGATAAGTTAGAAGACAAAAATATTTCATCACCATAAACACTCCCATCATGCAAACGATGTCGTTTCATCTTTCTATTAATGGGCGACAAATATATTTTTATCTTTTGAAGAATAAGTGGGAGATGAAAATATTTCGTCACTAACAAATTCTGATTATTGAACTGCGCGATGAATATATTTTTCGTCTCATAAGTTATGTTGTGGAAGACAAAAATTTTTCGTCAACCAATAATTAAATTCTCTGTTTGTATTTAAGGAGACAAAAATATTTTATCACTAATTTATTTCTCTTTATTAAAATGCCTGGTTTTGTGTCGGGCACTGAAAACCGTCACCCCAAGAGACACACTCTGACCATGTTATCAACTCATTTTCATGTGCATCGGACACTCAAAGTCATGACCCAAGAAGACACTTCTACAAACCCTCATTTCTCTCTCCACACTTGAGCCTAACTCCTCTCTCACAAGTATTGAAGTCGTGAAGCAAGAGACACTCTAAACCATTTCTTTTATTTCGCACTAAAGCCCCTCTCATATGTCTCACACTTAACCCTTCCATGCTGTCAGTATTGAAAGCTATTATCCAAGAAGGCACCCTATGCAAAACCGACTATTCTTTCTCATAGTGGAAGGTGCCCCTGCATAAGCACTTTTTCTCATTGTCTAAACCAATTCTACCATTTCCATCATAGAACACACATTTTAGAAAAATCGCAGGTCAAAACCCCTTTCCACCAAAAAAAAAAAAAAAAAAAGAATAATTAATGTAGCTTTTTTTTTTTGTGAGAAAAAAAAAAAAAAAGGAAAAATTAATAATATTTTTTAACTTTTCCAAATTAATAAAAAAAACATTACCTTGTTAGTATGCAGTTTTCATAATTAATTTGATTTTTAATCTATATTTTTTAGTGAACATTTTTTAATATTATAATTTTTTTTTTTTTTTTTACTTTTTAAATCCCTTTAATTTAGATGAGGGCAAATTGCAGCAGTTGTCCGATACTTTGGTCCTTGTGTCATATAAACGTTTATGTGCCATATTTATATCTATCTATCTATAGTATTATAGAGAAAAGCTAAGGATCATGAAAAAACTTTCATGAAAATGATCATAAAAGAATTATGACCCTTGGATTACCTTGATTAGTGTGTGGTGCTTTATTTTAAGTGTAATCCAAGAGTCATAAATCTTCATAATCATTTTCAAAAAAAAATTCATGATACCTAGTATTGCTCATTATATATAAAGAAAATGGGGTTTTAAATTTACAAACCTATTGGGAGCTCTAATATCCCAATCTTAATTTTAAAAATTTTTTATTTAAAAAAAAAAAAGAACTCAGCATTTATTGACTTCTCCCAACCCACTTTTGCCATTTCTCATACCTACTCCTACACCCTTTTCAACTTCTCGCATATACTATGGCTAGTGATGGGATTGTTAAATTATTTTATAAAAAAAAATTTTAAAAATAATTAGTATATAAAAAAATATCTAAAACAAATATTAAATTCTTATTATAATTATATATATACTATATATTAAGCAAAAGGGGTTTTTAACCCCAAGGCCTGTGGGAGCTTCAATATCCAATCTGAATTTTCTAAATTTTTTATTAAAAAAAAAATCAACATTTATAATTTGGTCAAAATCCTTGATCAGCATTTATTAACTTTTTTCAATCCACATGTCTTTCCACATGCTTGCATTTATTGATTTGGTCAAAATCCCCTATCAGTATTTAAAATCCCTCATACAAATAATTATAGATACAATCTGTGATAGTTACTGCAATACCCTTTTCAACTTCTCTCATGCGCTATGGTTAGTGATAAGATTGTTAAATTATTTTTATAAAAAAATCTTAAAAACATAATTTATATATTAAAAAAAAATCAGAGGTTGGGTTCACTCATCACTCTTCTCTGTCTGTCCGTCTCTCTCTTTCTCTCGTGTCTCTGTTACTCTTCTCTTTCTCTCTCTCACTCATCACTCTTCTCTGTCTGTCTTCTCTCTCTTTTTCTCTGTGTCTCTCATCCATCTCTCTTTTCTCTATCTCTTTTCTCTCTCTCTCTCTCTCTCTCTCTCTCTCTCTCTCTGTGTCTCTCACTCATCTCTTTCTCTCACCACTCATCTCCTCTACACATTCACCACTACTGAAACCCCATTTCACTACCACCACTACTACCACGGTCGCCATTTCACCTCTACGACTACCATTACTACTACCATCGCCATACTCCACTACACCATACC